TAATAGAGAGATGTGATGTGATGGTGAGATGGGTAATGTGAGAGTGAGAGAGGTAAAGTGAGGGTGAGCAAGATAAAGTGAGGATGAGAGAGGTAATGTAAGGGTAATAGATAATGTGAGGGTGAGAGAGGTAAAGTGAGGGTGAGCAAGATAAAGTGAGGATGAGAGGGTTAATGTAAGGGTAATAGATAATGTGAGGGTGAGAGGGGTAATGTAAGGGTAATAGATTATGTGAGGGTGAGAGGGGTAATGTAAGGGTAATAGATAATGTGAGGGTGAGAGGGGTAATGTAAGGGTAATAGATAATGTGAGGGTGACAGAGGTAAGTTGAGTGTGATAGGGTGAAGCCCTATCAGGATAGGAAAAATAAGAAAGAAAAGAGTAAAAGGTGGGAATGAAGAAGGAAGAATCAGGGTTATAGCCCCAGGTCAATGTGACAAATACGAACTGCAAAGGTTGCTGGACTATCCATGACCCCAGGTTTAGATACTAGCAGACTGGTACAATGAACAAGGAAGATTGCAGCGTCAATGACCCCAGGTTTAGATACTAGCAGACTGGTACAATGAACAAGGAAGATTGCAGCGTCAATGACCCCAGGTTTAGATACTAGCAGACTGGTACAATGAACAAGGAAGATTGCAGCGTCAATGACCCGAGGTTACCAAAACAAAGACTTCATGTTTTAAAAATAGTTAGCGTGCAACAAGCAAATATGATGGGAGGATACACCCTGGCCAAAGTTCAATCTCAGGAGACTTGGATTAGTTCACTATGTATTCTGTGTTGGAAGGGTCTGGAGAGATGGCCTGTCTGAGAGAACAGTGACATGGGAACAAAAGCTGCTGGTTCTTAGACATGGCCAAACCAAGTAAGCTTAGTGAGGTGTGCCAGATAATGCCAGAAACATGACTGGATGTTCTGTGAGATGACACTGAAGGTCATGATTGACTGGGTTGGCTATTGAGTAGGTGCCAACTTGATAGTAGTTGGTAGGCTGGGATGTAGGATTGTAGAAGTTGGTAGGCTGGGATGTAGGATTGTAGAAGTTGGTAGCCTGGGATGTAGGATTGTAGTTGGCAGGCTGGGATGTAGGATTATGGTAGTAGTGTCTAAGTACTGACTAATATCATGGAATGAGATCCTTGAAGTTACTTGCTAGCTGATAGTTGAGTAGATTCTGCTATCAGCTGATAGTTGAGCAGATTCTGCTATCAGCTGATAGTTGAGTAGATTCTGCTATCAGCTGATAGTTGAGTAGATTCTGCTATCAGCTGATAGTTGAGTAGATTCTACTATCAGCTGATAGTTGAGTAGATTCTACTATCAGCTGATAGTTGAGTAGATTCTGCTATCAGCTGTAATGAATAGTAAGCTGTTGTTATATTTAATGTTCTGTAGCGTGAATAGCGATTGGGCTCACTCTGGTTATAATATCTTATGTATTATGTTGTGTCTTGTTTGTGTAATAATGGATATAGGATTGTATAATTGTTGTCCCTAATAAACATGACTGTTAGTTGATATTCTTGTATCCCAGCAATAGTTTGTTGAGTATAGGTGTTGTACCCGTGGTTGGTTGCTGTAGTTATGAAACTACTATAGCTACTGAACACTCTTGTAACCCTCCACTGACTATTAACCCATCGTCTGGGGTAAAGACACACTGTTACTACACTTTCTGCTATAGCTACTGAACACTCTTGTAACCCTCCACTGACTATTAACCCATCGTCTGGGGTAAAGACACACTGTTACTACACTTTCTGCTATAGCTACTGAACACTCTTGTAACCCTCCACTGACTATTAACCCATCGTCCAGGGTGAAGACACATTATTACTACACTTTCTACATAAGAAGAACCTCTCATCTTCTCATACTTTCTTCTCCTCTGTCTCTCTCTCTCTCTACTTTTATATCTCCCCTTCTATCTATCCTTTTTAAAATGTAAACCCCGACCGATTACATGAGGGTGAGAGGTGTAACCTGATGATGAGAGGAGTAAACTGATGATGAGAGGGGTAAACTGATGATGAGAGGTGTAAACTGATGATGAGAGGGGTAAATTGATGATGAGAGGGGTAAACTGATGATGAGAGGTGTAAACTGATGATGAGAGGTGTAAACTGATGATGAGAGGAGTAAACCGATGATGAGAGGCGTAAACTGATGATGAGAGGTGTAAACTGATGATGAGAGGAGTAAACCGATGATGAGAGGCGTAAACTGATGATGAGAGGTGTAAACTGATGATGAGAGGGGTAAACTGATGATGAGAGGGGTAAACTGATGATGAGAGGTGTAAACTGATGATGAGAGGAGTAAACCGATGATGAGAGGCGTAAACTGATGATGAGAGGTGTAAACTGATGATGAGAGGGGTAAACTGATGATGAGAGGGGTAAACTGATGATGAGAGGTGTAAACTGATGATGAGAGGAGTAAACCGATGATGAGAGGCGTAAACTGATGATGAGAGGTGTAAACTGATGATGAGAGGCGTAAACTGATGATGAGAGGTGTAAACTGATGACGAGAGGGGTAAACTGATGATGAGAGGGGTTAACCAATTATGAGAGGGGTAAATTGATGATGAGAGGGGTAAACTGATGATGAGAGGAGTAAACTGATGAGAGGTGTAAACTGATGATGAGAGGGGTATGCTGGGGCTGAAAATAAAACAACAAATTAAAGGAGAAATAATTGTACAAACAGGTGTTGCAGGTGACAGGCACCGGCCCATCACATAAACATCTTTGATATGATAAAAACATGACTACTGCATGCTGGATCCAACACTGAACATGACTGATCACAGGAAGGCAGCCCATGACCCATATAGACAATCTTTGCCTGGCTGTATTCACAAGTAAAAATGTTTCAAAATAAAACCTCTCTGATGGGATAAAACAACAGAACAATGCATGCCAGGTCTAAATCTGGAGTAAATGTCCCAGGCAAGGCAGGTGCCCACTGACAGCTGACCCATGTCCCAGGCAAAGGCAGGTGCCCACTGACAGCTGACCCAAGTCCCAGGCAAAGGCAGGTGCCCACTGACAGCTGACCCATGTCCCAGGCAAGGCAGGTGCCCACTGACAGCTGACTCATGTGCCATATTCTTTACGTAATTGATACATGTAGGATATTTTCAACTGACTGGCATCAAAAGTCTATGGGTTTGACAATATACCACGCTGATCTGCACAAATAGCTTATTGATATGGGTTTGACAATACACCAGGCTGATGTGCACAAATAGCTTATTGATATGGGTTTGACAATACACCAGGCTGATGTGCACAAATAGCTTATTGATATGGGTTTGACAATACACCAGGCTGATGTGCACAAATAGCTTATTGATATGGGTTTGACAATATACCACGCTGATGTGCACAAATAGCTTATTGATATGGGTTTGACAATACACCAGGCTGATGTGCACAAATAGCTTATTGATATGGGTTTGACAATACACCAGGTTGATGTGCACAAATAGCTTATTGATATGGGTTTGACAATACACTAGGCTGATGTGCACAAATAGCTTATTTATATATCTGTCAGAATCTGCCAGTGTGGACAATTAAGTCTGACAATTAAGTAATGAGACTAATTCCATAAAAATTAAAATAATCAACAATTGAAGATAAAACCTGTATTTTATTCAAAGTAAGCCCCTTGTGCACTGATACAGCAAGTGGCACAATCTAATAAACACTGAAGTGACCTTTGTAGTTCTTCTGTTGTTATGGCGCTTAAAGTCGAATTGAATGTCAGCAATATTGTTATAGAAATGTCGTTTCAATCATAAATTTAATTTTAGGAATAGAAAATAATCACAGGGAGACAAATCTGGGGACTTTTTTCTTGCCAAAATCTTGCACTAAAATGTTATGAATAGTCTCTCTATTAACACTAGATTCATCTGCCATCATCCTCACAGTAACACAATGATCTTCTTGTATCCGTTCTGTGACTTTTGCAAAAAGGTTAATCATTACAAACAGAAATTTGGCGTCCAGGTCTATATGCATTAGTAATTTTTTCCACACCACTTTTTAATCGTGAATACCACCTAAAAATATGTGCACAAGATAAACAATTATCCCCATAAACTTGTTGCATCAATTCAACTGTTTCAATGGCTCTTTTTCTGAGTTTTAAAAAGAATTTAATGTTAGCTTTTTTTTTTTGCTCCTTGCTGATTACGTAACAATGCACCTCTCACTAGATTAAAAAAATGGCAGCTTGTCTGTTGTCTGCTTATCGAGCGGCGATGAGAAGTTGCCAGATCACAGATGAATGTTGCCTCTTTACATTCCATACTTTGCTTCATAGATGGCATTTCTATGGGACGAGAACCTAGCATCTGTGTTGTATATTAACAGAGAGTGACTTCCCTTACCTTAAATAAATCGCCGTGTCACATGGCTTGTTCTATGTTGAGGTGGTGTCATGCCAAGTTTTACTAGTTCTTGTCACCAGCCGGCAAGTGTGTTCTATATCTATATTACAGGATGTGAGCGCTTTTAACGGTCCAGAAACATGTAGAACTGGCCATAACCTCAACCCCCTATGTCCCATGAGAGAGTGCAGCCTTTATCCTACAACTACATGCAGCCTAAGTTCTTGACTGTATGCAGCGTAGTGTGACACCCTTTGGAAAATAGGACAAGCTGTATGACACCGCAATTTATGAATGGGCAGGAAAGTCACTCTCTTTCTGAGCCAAAAAACGTGAGTTGTAATCATCTGTGGTATACAAATCTATCTGGTGCAGACATTGTTAGCTTTTGACTAAAGTTGCTGGCAAATCTGACCCTTGACATTCCAGACCACCTAGAGGGAGCCAGTGGTGATAAATATTATACAGATAAATACAAGAAATCGTAAAGGTCACACAGACAGTATCTATAACAAAAATGAAATTAATTCTATAATAAAAGAGCACAGATATCACTGAGTGCTGGGGTGTGTGGCGGCGTGGTCTGTGGTCATTCCTGTGTGACTTGCCACACAATGATATGGCTGCTGTCTGACCTGGTCAAGGTCATGACTTTGGAGGCATCTTCTGAGCTGTCCTCAACCGCCCCGGCAGTAGTGGCAGTTGCATCACTATCGTCACCAACACCTGACAGTAGAAGACATGGCACCAATCAACATTTATCCATGTGTACTGATCTATTTTACATCTATCTAAATACAAACACAACACCTTACCCTGCTAGTAAACAACCAGCCACCCATCCGCACACATGGATGAATCCATCAATTCACATATTAAATAGAAGTCAGTTTCATTGACTTTCTGTCTCTAAATGAAAGTAGTTTTTTTTCATTGCAACAGTCATCATAGTTGACTCTGTCTATCAATAAATGATGGTCAGATAAGTTGACCCTGTCAGTCAATAAATGAATGTCAGATAAGTTAACCCTGTCCATCAATAAATGAACGAACAAACAAACTTTATTTTCAAAGGTTCACAAATTGGGCATACAGGCCCGTCTCACATTCGGCCCTTCCAAACAGCCATCTTTTATGCAGCAGTTGTATTTGATCAATAAAGCATGTCATGTTCAGATAATAATATGCATTCTATAAATATCAAGCAGAAAACACATACAAGCTTCAGCTGTTAAATGCATGCAAACACTCACGTGCGTGCAAACACACTCACATGCATACACACCCACAGACATACACACACATACATGCATACATACATACATACACATGCACACATAGACACATACTCAGAAACACACCCACAGACATAAACACACACACACAGATATTTACAAATGCACACACACACACACATGAAGAAACACACACAGATACACAGATACATAGACACACATGCAAACACACACACAGAAGGCCAGACAAAATGACACTGTCTGCCAACAAAGGAAGGTCAGATAAGTTGACCCTGGAGGTCAGATAAATTGAACCTGAAAGTCAGATAAGTTGACCTTGTCTCTCAACAAATAAAGGTCAGATAAGTTGATTATATATGTCAATAAATGAAGGTCAGATTAGTTGACAGTCAGGCAACTTACCCAGCCGAAAGTCTACGTAGCCCTCTCCACCAGCTAGGATCAGGTGGGAGTTTGATGGTGGAGCAGGCACAGCTTCTCCTCTGGGTGGCAGTGATGAAGGTGGAGGGCTTGAGCCTACACGCTGTCGCTGTCTCTGGAGGCCTAGGAGAAAATCATATCAACATGTAATGATTCGGTATATCAACATGGCAGGGTCAGGTATATCAACATGGCAGGGTCAGGTATATCAACATGGCAGGGTCAGGTATATCAACATGGCAGGGTCAGGTATATCAACATGGCAGGATCAGGTATATCAACATGGCAGGATCAGGTATATACCAGGGCTAACTGACTACAATATCTTGGCCATACACAGAGACTGTTATCACCAGGGCTGACTGACTACAATATCTTGAGCATACACAGAGACTGTTATCACCAAGACTAACTGACTACAATATCTTAGGCATACACAGAGACTGTTATCACCAGGGCTAACTGACTACAATATCTTGGGCATACACAGAGACTGTTATCACCAGGGCTAACTGACTACAATATCTTAAGCATACACAGAGACTGTTATCACCAGGGCTGACTGACTACAATATCTTGGGCATACACAGAGACTGTTTTCACCAGGGCTAACTGACTACAATATCTTGGGCATACACAGAAACTGTTATCACCAGGGCTAACTGACTACAATATCTTGGCCATACACAGAGACTGTTATCACCAAGGCTAACTGACTACAATATCTTGAGCATACACAGAGACTGTTATCACCAGGGCTAACTGACTACAATATCTTGGGCATACACAGAGACTGTTATCACCAGGGCTAACTGACTACAATATCTTGGGCATACACAGAGACTGTTATCACCAGGGCTGACTGACTGACTACAATATCTTGGGCATACACAGAGACTGTTATCACCAGGGCTGACTGACTGACTACAATATCTTGGGCATACACAGAGACTGTTATCACCAGGGCTGACTGACTACAATATCTTGGCCATACACAGAGACTGTTATCACCAGGGCTGACTGACTACAATATCTTGGCCATACACAGAGACTGTTATCACCAGGGCTAACTGACTACAATATCTTGGGCATACACAGAGACTGTTATCACCAGGGCTAACTGACTACAACATCTTGAGCATACACAGAGACTGTTATCACCAGGGCTAACTGACTACAATATCTTGGGCATACACAGAGACTGTTATCACCAGGGCTAACTGACTACAATATCTTGGCCATACACAGAGACTGTTATCACCAGGGCTAACTGACTACAATATCTTAGGCATATACAGAGACTGTACTGTTATCACCAGGGCTAACTGACTACAATATCTTAGGCATACACAGAGACTGTACTGTTATCACCAGGGCTAACTGACTACAATATCTTAGGCATACACAGAGACTGTTATCACCAGGGCTAACTGACTACAATATCTTAGGCATACACAGAGACTGTTATCACCAGGGCTGACTGACTACAATATCTTGAGCATATACAGAGACTGTTATCACCAGGGCTAACTGACTACAATATCTTAGGCATACACAGAGACTGTTATCACCAGGGCTGACTGACTACAATATCTTGAGCATACACAGAGACTGTTATCACCAGGGCTAACTGACTACAATATCTTGAGCATATACAGAGACTGTTATCACCAGGGCTAACTGACTACAATATCTTAGGCATACACAGAGACTGTTATCACCAGGGCTGACTGACTACAATATCTTGAGCATACACAGAGACTGTTATCACCAGGGCTAACTGACTACAATATCTTGGCCATACACAGAGACTGTTTTCACCAGGGCTAACTGACTACAATATCTTAGGCATACACAGAGACTGTTATCACCAGGGCTGACTGACTACAATATCTTGAGCATACACAGAGACTGTTATCACCAGGGCTAACTGACTACAATATCTTAGGCATACACAGAGACTGTTATCACCAGGGCTAACTGACTACAATATCTTGAGCATATACAGAGACTGTTATCACCAGGGCTAACTGACTACAATATCTTAGGCATACACAGAGACTGTTATCACCAGGGCTGACTGACTACAATATCTTGAGCATACACAGAGACTGTTATCACCAGGGCTAACTGACTACAATATCTTGGCCATACACAGAGACTGTTTTCACCAGGGCTAACTGACTACAATATCTTAGGCATACACAGAGACTGTTATCACCAGGGCTAACTGACTACAACATCTTGAGCATACACAGAGACTGTACTGTTATCACCAGGGCTGACTGACTACAATATCTTGAGCATACACAGAGACTGTTATCACCAGGGCTGACTGACTACAATATCTTGAGCATACACAGAGACTGTTATCACCAGGGCTGACTGACTACAATATCTTAGGCATACACATAGACTGTTATCACCAGGGCTAACTGACTACAATATCTTAGGCATACACAGAGACTGTTATCACCAGGGCTGACTGACTACAATATCTTAGGTTTACACAGAGACTGTTATCACCAGGGCTGACTGACTGCAATATCTTGAGCATACACAGAGACTGTTATCACCAGGGCTGACTGACTACAATATCTTAGGCATACACATAGACTGTTATCACCAGGGCTAACTGACTACAATATCTTAGGCATACACAGAGACTGTTATCACCAGGGCTGACTGACTACAATATCTTAGGTTTACACAGAGACTGTTATCACCAGGGCTAACTGACTACAATATCTTAGGCATACACAGAGACTGTACTGTTATCACCAGGGCTGACTGACTACAATATCTTGAGCATACACAGAGACTGTTATCACCAAGGCTGACTGACTACAATATCTTGAGCATACACAGAGACTGTTATCACCAGGGCTGACTGACTACAATATCTTAGGCATACACATAGACTGTTATCACCAGGGCTAACTGACTACAATATCTTAGGCATACACAGAGACTGTTATCACCAGGGCTGACTGACTACAATATCTTAGGTTTACACAGAGACTGTTATCACCAGGGCTGACTGACTGCAATATCTTGAGCATACACAGAGACTGTTATCACCAGGGCTAACTGACTACAATATCCTGGGCATACACAGAGACTGTTATCACCAGGGCTAACTGACTACAATATCTTGGGCATACACAGAGACTGTTATCACCAGGGCTGACTGACTACAATATCTTAAGCATACACAGAGACTGTTATCACCAGGGCTAACTGACTACAATATCCTGGGCATACACAGAGACTGTTATCACCAGGGCTAACTGACTACAATATCTTGGGCATACACAGAGACTGTTATCACCAGGGCTGACTGACTACAATATCTTGGGCATATACAGAGACTGTTATCACCAGGGCTGACTGACTACAATATCTTAAGCATACACAGAGACTGTTATCACCAGGGCTAACTGACTACAATATCTTGGGCATACGCAGAGACTGTTATCCCCAGGGCTGACTGACTACAATATCTTAAGCATACACAGAGACTGTTATCACCAGGGCTAACTGACTACAATATCTTGGGCATACACAGAGACTGTTATCACCAGGGCTAACTGACTACAATATCTTAGGCATACACAGAGACTGTACTGTTATCACCAGGGCTGACTGACTACAATATCTTGAGCATACACAAAGACTGTTATCACCAGGGCTAACTGACTACAATATCTTGAGCATACACAGAGACTGTTATCACCAGGGCTGACTGACTACAATATCTTGAGCATACACAGAGACTGTTATCACCAGGGCTAACTGACTACAATATCTTGAGCATACACAGAGACTGTTATCACCAGGGCTGACTGACTACAATATCTTGGGCATACACAGAGACTGTTATCACCAGGGCTAACTGACTACAATATCCTATATTTTATAGACTAATGGGCACTCGATGTGGTCACAGCTAGCTAGAGATCTGATCTGTTCTGCCATGCCCTCCAGCACAGAAGGTTTCCAGTGCTAGGGCTATATTTTATAGACTAATGGGCACTTGATGTGGTCACAGCTAGCTAGAGATCTGATCTGTTCTGCCATGCCCTTCAGCACAGAAGGTATCCAGTGCTGGGTCGATATTTTATAGACTAATGGGCACTTGATGTGGTCAACATGAATTAGCTGCTACATTTTTATACACAGCCCATTTAACTGCAATGCACTTGCAATATTTCACAATTAAATGAATGATTACAAGGCAAAAAATATGTTAGGATTGTGAAATTAACCACTGGAATATGAAGAATGTGAAAAAACCATAAGAATGTGAGACAAATTGTAGAAACAACAGAAATGTAAAATTAGCTGTTTCAGTGAGGATATCATTGTAACATTAGCTTCAGAGAAAATGTTGATGTGACAGTGACGTCAATGGGGACATGAGGGTGAAGTCAATGGGGACATGAGGGTGAAGTCAATGGGGACATGAGGGTGAAGTCAATGGGGACATGAGGGTGAAGTCAATGGGGACATGACAGTGAAGTCAATGGGGACATGAGGGTGAAGTCAATGGGGACATGACAGTGACGTCAATGGGGACATGAGGGTGAAGTCAATGGGGACATGATGGTGAAGTCAATGGGGACATGAGGGTGAAGTCAATGGGGACATGAGGGTGAAGTCAATGGGGACATGAGGGTGAAGTCAATGGGGACATGACAGTGACGTCAATGGGGACATGAGGGTGAAGTCAATGGGGACATGAGGGTGAAGTCAATGGGGACATAACAGTGACGTCAATGGGGACATGAGGGTGAAGTCAATGGGGACATGATGGTGAAGTCAATGGGGACATGAGGGTGAAGTCAATGGGGACATGAGGGTGAAGTCAATGGGGACATGATGGTGAAGTCAATGGGGACATGAGGGTGAAGTCAATGGGGACATGAGGGTGAAGTCAATGGGGACATGACAGTGAAGTCAATGGGGACATGATGGTGAAGTCAATGGGGACATGAGGGTGAAGTCAATGGGGACATGAGGGTGAAGTCAATGGGGACATGACAGTGAAGTCAATGGGGACATGAGGGTGAAGTCAATGGGGACATGACAGTGAAGTCAATGGGGACATGAGGGTGAAGTCA